CCCTAAACCTGTTAACAACACATTCTCTTGTTTGCTCTTATGACAACACCTTTAAACAAGGTGCTGTGATATGAGTGGTTAAGAATGTAAGCTGTGGAGTCGGGCAGACATGAGTTCAAATCCCAAATCTGCCATTTTCTAGCTGGCTGACATTGGGCACGTTCGCCTCTTGGTGCCTCAAGTTCCTCATCAATAAAATGAGTACAATAATAGCACCCACAACTCATGGGCACCTTACAGCCTATTTAGAGTATTAAATTAACACATGTGATTCCGAAATCAGATGAGATGGGCTCATCCAGGGTTTAAAGCAAAAAGTATATAACATGACCTCCAGGGGTTTATAATGTATGCAGAGGTAATACACATGACAACTACAGCATGAATGGACTTCTACCTCTACAGATGTTAAGTTTCTATATTTTATTTCAAATATTAACTCAAAGTAGATCATGAAAAGTTATGAATGTATATTGTCATTCCCAGAGCTAACAATTTAAAAATGGAATTCTAAAAAATATTCCAGTTGCCACATGTATAGTACTTAGAACAGTGGCTGGAACACAGTAATAGGCAATAAATCTCAGCTTCTGTTATAATTATCTGATTACATATCGTCTCCACAACCAGACTGTATGTTCCTAAGGGAATGTACCTAAATATTACAAGCAATCAGTAAATGTTTGTTGAGGGTATGAAAGGCAAAATAATCAATATTATATGAAAATACAGTTCTACATTCTGCACTTACTGAATTTCATATTGTCAAACAAATGCACAGGCATTTATTTTTAGAAGAGCTAAGAAGAAAAACCTTTTTGGTGTTACTGAATACAACTTTAAACACTCACAATTCTGACCTATCTCTAAATTTTCTTTAGATACTGTTTTAGTTATCAGACACTTCTGAAAACTAAATGTATGCCTGGTCAGAAATAACTTTTATGGTTTATATAAATTTTTGTTCATAATCTGGCAAACTTCACAATTAGATATATTTGAACTTTCATGGTGTGTGAAGAAATCTCTATCAGTTGAGAAGAAAGTGCAGAAACAGGCTATGTGAAGCCCCACATTCCTGAATTGCACTTTTAATTCAAAGTTCCTTTCTATCATCAGGTTCTAAATGCTGCAATGAAACTTGTCTTATTAAGTAGCCAAATACAGCAGTGGTGCTGCTAGCCTACTTCTATCTCCACATCAAAAGTCAGTGCTACCAGAACTGCACCACCATGAGTCAGGTGACTTTCTGACTTTTCTTAATATTTTTACATCATATTCTTCTGTACTCAGATGAAAAAATATATACTTAGAAAAATATGTCTTCAGAGGTTTTTGTTGAGTCTGCCCTAACAAAAATCTAGTCTGATGAAAACACAGTAATGACTTACATAACTAAATAGCTTTAAACTCTAGAGGGAGTTCTGCAATTGAACTTAGATGATTTATTTTTTTCATTTAATGTGAAGCTCGTTACATGTAGGGCTTCTAATAAGCTTTTCAGAAACCACTAAAAAAATCATTCTATCTCATCATATTTTACTTTATATATATTTCTCATAGGTGAAATATAGCAACTATGACAAGATTAGTTGTTATAACATCTAGATCAAAGGATGAAAAGTAAGTCCAGTCTTTACTATTGCCCTTCTGTGTCCTGAATCTCATGAGCAAGAGAATACGCTCATTTCTCTACCATCAAGACATAATGCTCTTGCCAGTGTTCACTCTACTTCTTGTACCTGGAAGCCTAGTCTGGACAGACACTTATCCACTAACCTCTCTATCAAAGAAGGCAGGCTCGGGCTGTGAAAAGAACACTGGACTGAGAATCAGCATGCCTGTGTTCTAGTTCCAGCTGTCAACTATTAGCTGTGGCCCTGGACAAGTCATTTAACCATTCTGCGTCTCAGTTTCCTCATCTGCAAAAATGAGCAGATTAGATTAGAGGCTCCCTAAAACTGTTTCCGTGGCTAAGATTCTAGATTAACCAAACAAGGGTACATATGGCACAATCATTAATTCTTCTTCCTTTTCTTATAAGAGTAATTCCCTCTGTGGACTGAAATGCAGTTTACACTTGCACTGAAGGCTGTTCTCTAGAGCAGCAGTGCTTCTCAAACCTCAATGTGCATACAAATCCTCTGAAGATCTTGTTAAAATAGAGATAACAAACCCATAGGGCTGGAATGGGTTCAATCATGTTGCATTTCTAACAAGCTTCCAGGTCATGCCAGTGATGCTGGTCAAACCATGTTTTGAGTTAACAAGAACCGAAGACTTCAGATATTTAGTGGACTTGCATTTTCTCTACCTGTTCTAGGTGGGTTCACTGCAGTAAGTCTACTCTTTAATAAATAAACACTGTATCTGTTGTCAAGGAATGCATAATGTCTTGGATCATTCTGCGTACGATTATTCCTTAATTACACAGATTCCTTTTTTTTTTTTGAGACAGAGTCTCACTCTGTCACCCAGGATGGAGTGCAGTGGCATGATCTCGGCTTACTGCAACCTCCACTTCCCAGGTTCAAGTGATTCTCATGCCTCAGCCTCCCACGTAGCTCGGACTACAGGCACTTGCCATCATGGCTGACTAATTTTTGTATTTTTAGTATTCACCATGTTGGCCAGGCTGGTTTCGGACCCCTGACCTTGTGATCCACCTGCCTCAGCCTCCCAAAGTGCTGGGATTACAAGTGTGAGCCACTGCCCCTGACCAATTATACAGATTCTAAAACTATACTGAGTAGTAAAACCAGCTATCAATTATGAATGAATGAATTTTCAAAGACATAATTTATCATTGTAAAGCCAATCATAAACCAAAAATGTTTAAGAAGAAAAATATCCTTTGCTTACTTCGTCTCCCAGATATATTTTTGAGTCTTTGCATCTCAAGAGCACTCAGATAAACTGAAAATGCCTTGGGAAGAAATTCCACATAGGTCCAGATAAATGTAGATAAGCTACATGACTCCCTGAAGTGGTCAAAACATAAGCCCTCTACACTCACAGATTTCCGTTCATGGTTTCACACAGCTCATTATAGTCTGTCCCAGTCAACACACTAGGGAAAGACAGTGTAGTAAATCAGTACATATTTTAAGCCTCTTCATTTAGTTGATCATCCTAAAGGAAGGTTACCTAAAATAGAAATAGGAATAAGAAAGATATTCCTTGATTTTTTTTTTCTATATGACAAAAGTTAGAGATTGAATTTTTTTGGCACAAGGGCGGGCAGGAGTGGAAAGTTAAGCTATTTAGCCATATCCCCTGGGGAAAGAAAGACTTATATACTGGTCAGCTCTTATTAAGGAAAAACATGCTTCAGGTGCTTCTCTTTCCATTGACCCCTTCTACATCCTTCTCATGTTAATACAGGAATGCATAAATTTCCTCACCAAAAGAATCTCTCAAGTCATCCCTAACTTTTAAGGATATCTTGAATTTGGAGCTGTCATTCTTTGTAGATAATAACAGCATTAAGAGCACGTAACAAGATAGTGTTACCTATTTAATAAAGCTATTTGGTGTACATTATTAAAACTGTACTAGACAGTCTGGTGGCTCACGCCTATAATCCCAGCACTTTGGGAGACCAAGGTGAGTGGATTACAATGTCAGGATTTCAAAACAAGCCTGGCCAAGATGGTGAAATCTTGTCTCAACTAAAAATACAAAAATTAGCCGGGCATGGTGTGGTTCGCCTGTAATCCCAGCTACCTGGGAGTCTGAGGCAAAAGACTGCTTGAACCTTGGAGGCAGAGGTTGTAATGAGGTGAGATCATACCACTGCACTCCAGCCTGGGCGACAAAGTACGGCTCCATCTCAAAACAAACAAACAAACAAAAAAAACCCAAAATATTCCAGGTGTGGTGGCAGCTACTGAGGAGGCTGACTATAGTCCCAGGTACTCAGGAGGCTGAGGCAGGAGAATCACTTGAACTCGGGAGGCATAGGTTGCAGTGAGCCAAGATCGTGCCACTTCACTCCAGCCTGGGAGACAGACTGAGACTCCATCTCAAAAACAAACAAACAAAAACTATATCAAAAAATTTCAAAAATTACAAAATGTTAAACCAATTCATTTGAAAGAAATAGGGACAGCATAAAAGTAAAGGTTGGAGAACATTAATATTCTATTATAATACTTTTCTGGCACCTTTGAATGCCAGAAAACTAGTATTACTAACTAGCAATACAACCAGTTACTAATACAATTAGTATTACTAATGAAATTCCTCTGAAGTGGTAAAACTTACCTGGGAATTAAGAAAAAAGATTCAAAAAAACATAGCTATTTAAGAAAAACAAACTGTAGCACACACATAACTTCATTCACAACATACCTGAGAGCCAATAGCTGGGAATGTAACTCCTTGTTCCTTGAGGTTCTTAATCATTGCTGATATTAGACTAAGCTGTGGGTCATTCTTAAATTCATCTGTCCATTCAACCATAAGAGCCTTTAATTTTTCACATACTTTAGGATGACCCTGTAAAATAGAAAAAGAAATGAAAGAGCACCAATTTCCTAGCCAATGATTTAATATCGACATTTTAAATATAAAAATTATAAAGTTACAGATACTTTTTGAATCACAAATTACTCATAGCTATAGACAAATAAGAAAACAGAGTTATTAGAAATAAACTAATGTTCACATTATGAAAAAAAAACCATCATATATATCTCACTTCAAAATTAAAGCAATAAATAGGTAGTAACATTTTGGAGATCTTAAAGGACTTTTCAGAGTATGTTGCAATGAAGCAAGGTTTGTACATCAGTAAGCCAACAAAAAGTGTCTGTTTGCTTTTCGCAAAGCAATAAAAAAGTTGGAAGGAGACAATAAATGATATAGTTCCTGTATTTCTAATTCCTGACTTTTTAATGTTCATGACTCTGCAGTTTTTCCATGATGCTTAGTTATCTGGGGCCTAGTTTGAGGTACACTGCATGTTAATCATCTTGAAAATTTGATTCCTTCAAAATAATGTAACTCTTTATGGTTGATGTATAACAATGATTCAAGTTAGTCTAAGGTAGGTGTACAGGGCATTATTTTTCTGTATTAAAGAAAGAGATAAATGTAGTGCGTTTTCAAAATAAATTATTTTATTCATTGCTTATTAAGGGAAAAAAACATGGTCAGTTCATTAGAATACTGATGTAGCTTCACAGTGGCAATAATTTGATCAATTATTATTTGATGTGATGGAAATAAAGAAACCTTCACAGATATCAGAGAAAAGTGAAGATAACTCCTCTATCAAATGCCATCAATGTATTTCAAATCATCGTTTACTAAATAATTAGCTTAAGCTTTTAAAAATGGAGAAGGCTAGACTTTTAGATTACTCTATTAGAAGAAAAAGAATTCTTCCTAAGTGCATACAATCTGTATTTTGGCCAGGGAGCATATAATGGATTTGTAAATGCTTTACTGAGACTAAGCATGAACTTAATTTGGGTAATAAAAAGAAAATTTTTAAAAGGGCGGGATGAGTACAAAACCAGTATGTTCATAGTCCTCTTGCCTATAGGTAGTTGTTTTTCGAAATGGTTGTTTGCACTGTTATATACAAGTTTGTATACTACATTTTTCACCTACATTACAAAAAACATGGTATTAGAGTCTCTTCATAAACAGCTGTACATCTTGATGGACATTCAGGACATTAAAAGACAACGTTTATTAATTAGAAGAAAATAACTAAATATAACTGCATAAATCAGGAGAGAAAAAGAATGAGCACTTAACCATGATGTTTGAAAAGTACAGAATTTTGAATTCTTAATATATTTCTATACTTCTTTTTTCTACTGTAACCTGGAACTACTAGTTTTTCCCAAAAACATGAGGCATTTTCCCTTTTAACATACAGAAACCTTTTCTTGATTTATAATACTCCCCCTAAAAAAGCCTAAAATAATTACCTTTAGAATGCACAATTCTTTACTAGGAAAACTCACATATTACTAATTTAAAATTTACAAATTTCCTGAATTGTATGGTTGGAATTCTACATGCAACTGAATGGGCAGTTGTGGGGTACCCCAGTTCTCCCTGCTTTCTTTCTGTGTCCCAACAGAAAAACAGAGTGCCTTGACCCGCTCTGGGACCCAGCCAGCTGCACGTTTTCCACCATAGGTTTGGACCCAAACTGGGGCCCCGGACATTCTCAGGCACTGATAAAGTCATTCAGGCTGTTGCCCAAAGCACAAGAAGATCAAATATGTTACTAAACATGTAGAAACCAGCCCCAGCCCTGAGCCAAATTCCTTAAAGCCTCCTATAAACTGCAGCCCTCGTGCGTAAGTTCCCTAATAAATGCTTTAGACTGATCACCCTGGCATTTAGTGCTTCTTTTTTTGGAATCACAACTGGCCCTATCTGGAACAGTTTGGGGCAGTTCCTTGTGGGAACTCCCCCGCCACCTCTTTTGAGGCCACTCCAGCTGTGGGTTCAGCCAGTAAGAACAGCACTATAGTATTAAAATCCTGTGATGGCCAGGCAGTGACCTTATTGATAAAGATAAAAGAAGTTGAACAGTGCCACAGACTTTTGGCAGTATTTCTGAAAGGTTTTACATTAGGAAAATACCTTGTGGCTAAAAAAACAGTAGCTAAAATAGATTGATATTATTTAATTAGATATAGAAACACATGTTTTCTTACCAGATGAAAGTATGATGGAGAAGAACAGGCTAAAAATACTCTAATATGGCTTGGAAAAACTAACTCAAAGTTACATGAATCTGTAATCTCTTCAGCAAAACATAACATTTATTTACATACTGGACAGACACAGCCTAGAAAGGATTTCTTAAAAAGCACAGAATCCTGTGTGAAGATTTAAACAATAAAATATGTGAAGAAAGAAGACTGCCATAATTAATTTCTGGAAATAATGCTCCTTACCTTATTTAATACGTTGCTTACTTCACTAGCAAAATCTCTTGAACATACTTCTAAATGAAAAATTTTGCCGCAGTTTGATACACATGCTCCTAGAAGCTAAAAGCACAAAATCAGAAGTTAAAGGGACTCCATTGCAGCAGACAATTTTGTGGTATAGGTTAAAATGAAACCACTCACAGTCAAAGCTTGCATAGCAACGTGAGGATCTTTGTGGTTCACTCTCCTCATAATAGACCGAAGACAATCCTTAGGTCTAAAAAAATGGGAATAGTAAAAATTACTTAATAATTCATCTAGCTTCCCCCTGCCCCTTAACCGTTATAGACAAAAGACTATGATACAAAAGGGAGAATATGATAAAGTGGAGCAGTTTAATTTTTATTAATGACATGGTTGAAAAACTGTAAACTAGTTCCTTTAAATTTTTCTTCCTTTTTTTTTTTTTTTT